AGCTTGGATCCTGGCAAATTAGCTTCTCAGGCCACAATTTCAACTATTGGAAGTGAAACTCAACAAACCAATGAAGAGCATGTAGCTATTGAACTTCACGGCTAAGTGTGAGAACACAAGCAAGCAGGCAAGAATGTTGCATAGCTTATGTCCAACCTCTGCATGATTACCTCATCCTGCCCCTTCTGTGATTAGCAATTGGTGTGGACAGTTATCTCATTTTATAGTTGTGATGTTGTTCTTTCTTTGTCACTCGGTTGTTATAGAGTATGAACATTTTCATTCTGGATTATCTTCCAATGACAAGTTTATCACTTCTTATCTACACTTTTTATCCATGTTATGGCTCTCTCTCGGACCTCTTCGAGCTATAATAAGCTTGATTCAATAAACTATTTTATATTTCGTACATGATACAAAAAATCTCAGGATCAGCCTGCTCGCATGAACATAGGTTAGTAAGATGATATAATGATCAATATAAGGAAAAAAAAAAACTAGATGATATAAACCGAACTAATATATTGAATCACAAACCTCAATATCAATTTTCCTTGCAATGTTTCGAGCTGTGATATGCTTGAGACAATGCAATAGATAACGTAAGACACATTAACGAAGTGTTCACGAAAATATATTTCGAATAAAAATCACTACAAGTGTACGGTTCATAACAAGTAATAAAGTGAAATTTAGAGTTTCGGATATCGTTCCCACCGGGATTGATTTAGTTCAATTTCTCTACCTTGACCTTAACCGAATCAAGAAAATATCGCGTTTATGTTGTAATGAAAATTGTAACTAAACTAATTTACTAAAATGCTTGCAAGTAAACTAATGAACTAAAATGCAAAATAATTCTATAAAATGAGATATTAAATTCAATGAATGAAAGGCGCACTAGGATTACGAATCCCCATGCAATGATTTCTTTTAATCCGAATTGATAACATGGTTGAAGTTTTGAAGAATCAATGTTCCTATTCTATCCAGCAATCTCTCTCGAGTAATGTTGAACCTACTATCATATATGATCCGACTATATTCCTATGACGAATGCAAATATATAAGAATGCATGGATTTCTGTGAACACTTAGAGATTCATTTAAGGCACAACGGTATATTTCTATCCCCTATCAGACCCTACTATGATTTATACATTGTCGGGCCTATTTCCCTTCTCTTGAATGCATGGAATATGCCACCAGATTCACATAATCATTCGCGTATATAATTGTGGAGATAAAAAATTGTATATAAATCATTCAAATTCAAATATCGTGTTTTAATATCAAAATTGTAAAATTAGGAATTAAAAGATCACATCACATGGTTCATCATTCTCCTAGTACAGAAATATCTAGCCTAGCAGGATTAAAAGAAGAAAATTAGAAAAATATTGAAGAAACGACATCACCCCGATTAATCTTGAATTGAATCTTCGTGTACTTGGAGTTGATCTTCACGTTCTTGTCTCTTTTCTACTCTCAAAAACCTTGTAAAAATCTCTCCCCCTTCATTCTAGACGGCCCTAGGGTTTAAATACGCGACCTAAGATTTGTTTTCGTAGGTGTTTCAATCAAAATAGGAAACCAGAAAATTCGCAACAAAAACCTACCATGTTGCCACATGGTTCAATGTAAAATGGCTCCTGCATTCCCTATTGGCATGTGTGCGACCGCATGGTTAATTCTACCATGCGGCCGCATGGAAGATAGAAACTTCCATTTGTGTCGATTTGGTCCTTGAGTGTTGTTTTCTCCCATTTTGACTTCTTTTCTTCCATCTTCTTCCTCTAATTTGTTATTCCAATGCTCAATTAGTCATTTACATCTTCATGTCTCTAATTCCTCCAGTGGGTCATCTGTCGATTATTTGTACATTGGTCCCTGAACTTTGGTTTTCTTTCATTTTAGTCATTTTTCCATTTTTCTCCTAATTTCCGTCATATTCATCAGTGTTGTCCTGCAAAACACACATTATATCGAATTAAAATATATTCCACATATTTATTCACAATTATCCATGTTTATGGCCTAAACTAAGTGTGTGAACGCACTTATCACAAGGTTAGAGAAATAGTTTTCTTTCTTAAATTACAACTTAACAGGGGCTATGTCTGATCTCCAAAACAGTATGCTCACCTCCCCAGAACCATAGAATTTAGAACATGAACTGATTTTAATGTGCTCTAGTCTTGTTTCATTTTATCATGCGGGCATAATCTTGTTTTGGATAGAAAGGCACCGCCTTAGTCCTAAAATTGTTACTCATAATTGGCGCTAGCATAGGCTTGATGGTTGATCTATTGGAAGTGAAAGAAGGAGTTTCTTCTTGATTATTAGCACATTCATGGACTCAATATAATCTTGTCAGTCTCAGTTAGACCCTAACTTGGTCCATTCCTATTGATGGTTGTATCTTTTTCTTATGTATGTGATTCTTAGAAAATGGAAGAGTACTCTTCTGTATTTCATACATAACACAAAAAATCTCAGAATCAGCCTACTCACATGAACATAGGTTGGTAAGATTATATAAATGATCAAGATAGAAGATGAAAGAAAAATAAAATAAACCGAACTAATATATTGCTTTACACAACATTTGTTGCCACTGCATTAAAATAAAGGGAAAATTGCAGCCACAGTACCAAATATTTTATTTAGTTGAAGACTTTGCTCAAATCTTTCATTTGTGCGACTCACGTGCCATATCTTTAAAAAACTCGCACTCGGAGTTCAAATTGACAAAAATCGTTAGTTTGACCGTAGTTGACCAAAAATTAAAAATCTGACCAATTGTTGACTGCTTTTTAAGGGCAAAATGATAACTTTACATTTTTCATATAAAAAACTAAAATAAAATAATTAAATCAAAAACTAAAACTAAAACTAAAACAAAAAACCCTATTCTATTTCCCCACCTAAAACCAAAACCCATAAAATGACGGCACCACGACAACTCCAGCACCACCTCTCCAAACCTTCTCATTCTTGAACATTATTAACAAACCTTCACATTCTTGACCTTCATGGCTATTTCTTGACTCAACGGCCATATTTTCATAACAAGGGCTTTTTGATTCTTGAAATTCACTCTTTATTTTTGCTTTCCTCTCTATTTTATTCTCTGTTTTTCTGATGTAGCTAATGGGGGAGAACCACTCATTCAATTAGTGGCCAATTAATTGAAAGCCAAAAATATTCTCTCTAAAACTTTCCATAACCGTTTAAACCCTAACTGAGTTTTCGCAAAGATGGAGGGAGCGCCTCCCTTTCAGCCGCCTGTCAAGGTGGTTGGGGGGACGCAACCTATGCATCAATGGTACAAGCCCGGCCTCAACCGATCCCGGAAATAAAGATAGAGATGAGGCAACCAAAGGAGAGTGAAGGTTCTGTCTGGTTTCACTTCTCAAAAGTCGAACTGGAGCAGGCGGCCTCTCCATTCCGTTTCTCTGTTGTGCTCAAGTTTTTGAAAAGAAGGCCTACGCTAGACCAGATCCGGATTTTCATCAAGGCTAGATGGGGAATCAAAGGATTTTTTTCTGTTAGCACCATGCAGCATCCACGTAATGTGTTCATCAGATTCTCGACAGAAGAGGATTTTGGCATAGCATGTGCACGAGAATCACTGGATATTGAAGGTTCTCCATATAGACTTTTTATCTGGTCTAAAGATTTCAATGAAGAACATGAATCTTCTTTGGTACCAGTTTGGATTTTTCTTCCTCGGTTACCTCCCCACTTCTACCACGAATCTATGTTACGTATTATCACCGGCGCCTTTGGTCGATTTCTGAAGAGGGACAATTTTACGGCGTGTGCGTCCCGAACAGATGGGGCTCAGGTTTGTGTGGAGATGGATATATCCAAACCCCCGGTGGAATCCTTTTGGTTGGGAGTTCCGCATCATCCTTCTAGCAGGCACCAAGAAGTCGTCTATGAAAGGTACCCAAAATTCTGTCAACTTTGCAAGAATCATGGTCATTTGGAAAACACGTGTAAAAAGAAGGAGTATGCAGGAAAAAAAAACCTGTAACTAATTCTAAGGAACCTAAACAGATCTGGCAGCGAAAGGAAGAAAGAGTGAGCCTGGCAGTGGAAACGGCAAATCCTATGGCTGAAGGGGAAACAAAAATGAAGCTAAAAGGAAAACAATTATGCAACGAGACATTCTGATTCCATCAGCTTCAACGCAGTTTGTCAGTTCCGAAGGCAGAATCGCTACGAATATTGATGATGTGGGCGACCAAAGTTTGGCGAAAAATCCTCACACTGAGTTACACGATAATCTGCCTATTACTGATACTGTCATCAGCACAAATAATGATGAAAACGTTGCTAATAGCTCAATCTAGAGTTTTAAGGAAAACATGGAGGGGAATATGGTTTCAAAAAATCCTAAAAATTCTGAACTTGAACAGGCCATTTTGAGAGGGGATGCTGATGCTGTACAGGAAGTATTAGTTATGGGAATTATGGACAACATTGCGGAATTTG